ATAATTACTCAAGTAAAGTACAGAAAACCAAAATTCTACTAAAGTACAGTAACAAAGTATTTGTACTTAGTTACTTTACACCTCTGAATATGTCTATGTTTAACTAAAGAACTAATCTGAGTTAAAGTGGAAACCTGTTGGTTTGGGTTTAAGAGATGAGTGAACCAGTTGGTGGGCCYAACTTTMGTTGGCCGGATGTGGCCTGCGGGCCATCAGTTGAATAACCCTGTTATAGACTCTGAATGGGACTTTTCTGTATAAATATGCCAGCAGTTATTAGTCTAACTGTGTAGCTGACAGTTTTAGAGAATAAATATTTCTGAGAACCGGTTGTAGTTCACTGACGAAACCTGTCGGACTCACCGGTGGGCCCCGGGGAGCCTTTGTTCATCCTATCTACATGCAAATTCCAACTGTCACTGTGAACAGGAAAACAAGAGATAAGTATTCACCAGCTGACTTTAATAAAGCAAGCATAAAGTTAAAAATTAATTTTTCAGGTTCAGTCATCTCTCTTCAGTACGTTMCAGGGAAATGAGCAGAAACATGTTGCAGGATCATAAAACACAGAGAGCCCAGGCCTCTGGATGTAGATGATGATAAAGTTAAACGCTGTGAGAACTTTGTCCCTGCAGCATCGTGATGACCTCCTGCTCCACCATCCTGGCTCTGGGCATGATGCCGTTCCTGCTCTACGTGTACTGCCAGGGCTTCCCTGGCCTGCAGAAAGCCATCCCTTACGTCAAAATCGTCATTTCCCTGGTCCTGATCCTGCTGCCGTGCGGCATAGGCATCCTCATCAACCACTACAGGCCGCAGTACTCCAGGATGATCACAAAGGTCAGCGCACACCTGGGGGTGGGAGGGTTCGATGGGCTTCTGTGATGCTGAAGAACATTTTGACCAATCAGAGTCAGTCGAACCATCACAGGTTTACAGCCTTACTTTAATTTGTTGCTCAGTGTTCTGCAGTGTCCGGTCCAATTCTGGTGTTTTTAACACTTTTTATCTCTGCAGCTTCAACATGAATTAAAAAACAAATAATTTATTGTCCATCATTGCAGCCACACAAATTTCTGCAGGCAGCTGTTTGGACAGCTAAGTGGCAGCAGAGGGCTTAGGGACGATTTCTTCAGAGATCTAAAAATGTAATTTTAGGCCGGGTCCTCCTGAGGACCCAGACTACCCGCTGTGTCCAAAACAGCAGGCCGGGTCCTCCTGAGGACCCAGACTACCCGCTGTGTCCAAAACAGCAGGCCGGGTCCTCCGGAGGACCCAGACTACCGCTGTGTCCAAAACAGCAGGCCGGGTCCTCCGGAGGACCCAGACTACCGCTGTGTCCAAAACAGCAGGCCGGGTCCTCTGGAGGACCCAGACTACCCGCTGTGTCCAAAACAACAGGCCGGGTCCTCCTGAGGACCCAGACTACCCGCTGTGTCCAAAACAACAGGCCGGGTCCTCCTGAGGACCCAGACTA